GCAATTACAATCTGATGTATGTATTCAGATGTGCTGAATTCTAATTTATTTTGTTTTCTCTGGGGGAAATGTAAAATTGTGAATGTGTACATAATTTGAATAAGAAATGGATCATAGAGATCGAGATTTTGTAGAAGCTAGTACTCATGAACAGTTTTGTTTTCGGTATTGATACACCTATGAAGTTATTTCCATGTGGTATGCATAGATACCAATTTCAAAGAGGAAGAAGCAGAACTTGATTCAAATAACCAATGCTCTAGTTCTAGCACACTTTTTGTTTTATAGTTTCATATTTCCAATAATGTATCCAGCTCTGGGGCACTTTTGCACAGGAGAAGTGACTGGTGCTAATAATAAAAATATTATACTAAAAGTTGCTATTTAATACTAGAATGCTACTGTTTATCTTTAGTCATTTTTATTTTGCTATATAGTTACACACTTAGGTGCCTTCAGCATCTCTGAAAGGATCTGTTGCTCTTCTTGAAGCTAATGAACTGTAAGTGCATGGCATCTTCAAAAATTGTCCCACATTTATGAAATAGTATTAAAGTTTTATATTCTGGAAACAAATGTAAATATCTAAAGGTAAACTTTAAATATTTAAACTTTCTTCAGGAAATATGAATTTGTCAACTTTTTTGTGCTGCTATCTGTTCTCTTCCTTGTCCCTTCCCAGTAGTTTTATATAAAGGATGGGAAATAATTTTAATGAATATACTTAAAATATCTCACAGCAAAAATTCTTTTTTTGGGGGGGAGGGGAGAGGGTTGACTGCTTTTAAAAATGTGTGCTGTTAATTTTGAAATTAGATAATTTTTAAATATTAAAATTCCATATACTTTTCCAAACAGGAGAGACTAACGTTAACTGTTACCTTAGCATCCAGTCAATCTTTCTGAATGCAAAGCAAGATTATTTAATTTCAAAGTTCACAAACAAGCTTATAGGACCATTTAATAGTTCTCTAAAATAGCATTTTTAAAGACTTTGTGGCTATCTTATACCCTGAAGTCCAGTGAAATAAGACAAATGCATCTTAAATACAAATATTTTCACACATTCCTTTCTTGTGAAGCAATGCTTATGAAATGGTTTTCGTAGTATAATCCTTCAAATTGAAGGATTAATCTTCAAAACTAAATGTGAGATTAACATTAATTAGTATTAGACATTTAGGGTATGTCTAGACTACATGCCTCTGGTGACAGAGGCATGTAGATTAGGCTACCAGACATACCGTATTTTCCGCAGCGGCTGACTTGGGGACGCCTGGGGCAGAGCAGCTGGGGTGCTGCTGGGTTGGTACAGTAGCGCCGAGGAGCGGCGCTACTGGAGCAACCCAGCAGCACCCCAGCTACTCTGCCCCAGGGGTAGGCAAGAAAAGCCTGGTCTGCTGGGGGGGCACTAGCTGCACCTCCCCTCCCCCCAGCAGACCAGGGACACCGGGAGCACAGCGGCAGCATGGTGCCGCGCATCTGAGGCTTTGCTCAGTTTCTAACTTAAGAATCCCAAAAGCACTTTGAATGCTGATTATTTCATTCAAAATCCTTGAGGATAGGTATGCCATGAATTGCCCCCATTTTGCAGGCAGGCATCCTAGCTTTTCCTGAAAAGAAAGCTGGTAGTGGTCTACAAGTTCTCTTCTTCAGAAGGCAGTCACATTAATTTTGTTTGAAGGAAATGCAAGCAGTTGATCACTTTTTACAGAATTGTCAATTTAGTGCTTATAGACTCTCATTTCTGGAATTGAAGACCTTTATCCACTGAAATGGACAGCATGGGCACCAGCAGCATAATATTCACCTATTTGTGCTACAGGAATGAGGTAATTGTGGTGAAGGGTAGAAATCCTCTTAAGGAATGAGATTTCATTCCCTGACCTATTTTTTTGAGACTTTCAACTAGAATAATATTTATGCTAGACCACTGTGCAGTGGACTGATCTTTTTTCACAATAAACCATTTCTGCTTGAGCCAACCCAGACAGTCTGAATCAATTTAGAGATGAAAGTTGCCGCCTGTTTACTCTAATGCCCTAAGATAGATATTTATGTATACTAATATTAACTTAAATTTCAAGACATTGGGGAGATTCCCAAATCTGCACCGTCATTTGTGGGTGATGAATCTGAGGAACTGTCCCGGATTGAAGTGTCATTAGAGGAGGTTTTGGAACAAATAGAAAAACTTAATGTTAACAAATCTCCGGGACCGGATAGCATTCATCCAAGGGTTCTAAAAGAACTTAAATGGGAAATTGCTGAGCTATTATCTGTGGTTTGTAACCTATCCTTTAAATC